GGGGTTAGCTAGTCCGCGCGGAGCACGGCTCGGTAACCTCCCACCGACGGCGCTCCTCTATCGCCGCCGTAGCGGGCGTAAAAAGCACATCCGAATTGAATCATTGCTGAATAAGCGGGAAAGTGGCTGCGCCGGGTGGAAGGAAATCGGGAAGAGCGGCGAACTCCCCCCGAGTATAGTGGAGGGTCGTTTTCCATCCGACTCATTGGTACACCTCCTCCCTCATGTCGAACGCCGCTCCTCTTTTCTATCTTCCTTCGATAGCATCGTGAAAGCACTTTAACCGCGCTTTCAATTATTCTTTTTGTTCCGCCATTGAATTCCAACAACTTTCGGAAATTTGTTCTTTCGTAAGTTGAGAATTTGGGAATTTGAGAATTATCGAAATGCGAAGTTACCTCAAATCTTGATCGCGCACATTCGTATCCTGAATATTGTTAGAAATTATCATAAACATTTTATACATTTCAATTAAGAGAAGCGTACTTGCGCGCGAACACGTTGTCCCGCGTCATCGCTCGAGATTCTCTAATCTTACGCGGGGGACTCGTACTAGGATTGTGCGATATCTTGCGAAAACTTCTCCAGGAAAATTAGTTACTGCCGGAAGATGCTTCGCCTCGACAATAGCGCGGTCCGGAGGCGAGGAAAGGTCGGGCCGCTAACTGTTGCGTCGAAACGCGTGCGGTGCCCCACGGCTAATAAAGTAACGACCTCCGCGACGGCGAAGGAGAGGAGAAGCCCACGACGACGACGCGTACATACACCGTCGTCGGAATAAAGGCGGCGCGCAGTGGTTGTGCTTTATACGCCTTCACTCGCTCACTCACTCACTCACGCACTGTCGCGCATTAACGTACGTCGAGATAAACCCACCCTTGTAGCGAAGCGTGTCGGTCGACCGAGGGTCGTTCAATTAGGACGAAACCCCCTCCAGCGAAAGCCAACTTGCCGTTTACGTCGAGGGTGAAGACTTTCGGCGAAAACATCGTCTCCAAGGGTGCTTTGAAAACGCGCGACGGTCGGTCTTATCTTCTCCCCCGCGAACTTGGAATCAAAAATAATCTTAATCGAAAGAGAGTTTAAAAATGTTTTTAGTTGCTGAAAATATTGTAACATTTATTGGTAGAAAATTAGTTAGCCAAAAATATTTACATTGAACAAAGGAATATTATAACAATTAAATCGAGCATTTTCTCAATGAATATAAGAATTATTAATATAACTATTGTCACATATTTCTAGTCAATAAATATGTGAATGAACGAAAATAAGCTAGGCGTTACATATTTCATAATTTATAGAAACGTTTTATAACCGAGGGGAGCGGACGCGCGCGCGCGCGCGACTTTGGAGTCGCGGATGAAGTCAAGCATAATGCACAGGGACGCGTAAAATATTTTTATTGTTCGCAGCGTATCACTCTGCTAAAGTAATTCGAAAGCAGTAGGCAGTAGTTCTTTACAGTTCGCCGAATTTATTCTCGCGTGAGAAAGAAAGATTCGCCGCGGTCTAGTGGTGACACCGGAGAAATGGACGTTATAGCTTCTCTCGTGCGCCACGTCTATAATATCCAGCAACGGCGAAGTTACGTCCTTGTTCTTGGCCGCGCGATTACTTCCGTTACGAAACGGCGAGCGCCTTTAAACGTATCGGGCCGTTTCATCGACGAAAACGGATCCTCGTCGATGTAGCGCCGCTTTGAACTTGACGGAGCATGGCGATTGCTCCCCGAATCGCCGCGAAACTGTATCTACATACATCACACTTTTTAATTTTGCCTATGCGAAAGACTCCGTATTGAATGCTCGATACAATCTTTTCAGCAACAAGTGGTCGATTGTTTCCTTTGCCTCGCACATACAGGGATTTTCGTCGGCTCGGACATTTTTTGAATTCCCAGAAGATGTGGAAGGATTTAAGATCGCTTTGACTATTCTGGGGCGGAAGATCATTGTTACGATGTCACGGGTGTATGCGTTTACATAGATATAGATTACTGACCACATAAAATGTCATATATTTTACTTATAAATGTGTCAGTTATAACAGTACAATGGAAGATCGATTGGTTGGAAAGTTTGGTTTCTTTCAGAAAAAAAGCTGTATTAACTTGAGGCCTTGAGCAATCATGCTTTGCACCCTGACTAATCGCCATTGCGGCCATGTATTCGAGATGAGCGGCCGGACAAACGAAAATACGGCCGTCGACGTGGTCTGTAACCGTAACCATGGGGTGCCGTGGGTTCGACGCGCTCAACGGCGACATTGCGCCCTGCACGTGTTTGGTCGATGCGGGACGCACGTGTACCCGAGGAAGCCCCATTCAGCGGGATCACGAGTTACTTAGGTCAGACGATGACGACGACGGCGACGGCGAAAGGGGGACATTGGAAGGACGTCGTCCTGGATGGAAGGGAAAGCGACAAGTGCTTACACGACAAGTGCGTATCCTGCGTGTGACAAAAGTGCAGTACAGCTTCGGCCGTGTGAACCGCACAACAAGTCGGAAAAGGCGATGTCATCGAACGAGGCTCTTGAGAGGGCTAGCGCCCAGTTGGCCGACACATTTCTCTCCCCCCGAAAGAACAACGTAGAGCTCTTCCTTCGGCGCGTGGGATATTAGATCGTGAAAAGATAGAGTCGTATAATGGAAAGTTCAGTTTTGGAATCGCCGGATATTGTTAAATAAAAGGCGAGATGTGTTTGTAAACTGGTTCAGTCTCGTAAACACGAAAAGAGTATAATTCTGTTTATTTCTCATATCTGGTTAATGAGCGGGTGTTGTGTATATTTTTCATAGCGTAAGATTTTAATAATATATTCCGCGGTAAACTTATTACCTCGTTAGAATAGAATTAACAATGTAGTTATATTTTATATCATACACACAAGCGTGCGTTTAGCATATAATAGAATATAATTAACAAGCGTAGGTATATAATATTCATTAATACCGAATTAATGAGCGCCCTAAAAAAACAACGTAACGGTAACACTATAATTATCTTATCATCATGCAAATGATGTTTCTAGCGACGCATGTTAGTTGCCAAAATATTATTCTTCGCAATTGTTATTCTCGTACTATTACGCAAGTAGTTAGGAACATAAAAAAGATGTCCGAACAATCGTCGTCATGCATCGGGTGCATTCAGGCGTTGGAATTTAGTCGTAACACGCGACTTACATCAATTACACGAAGGTGAAGAAGAACGGGAGAGACCGTCCGCTCCGCCTTGAATTGAAATTCCTTCAAAGTCTCTCGAATACGATGCTTCGCAAATCGTTCATGGCTGCGTCTACTGCGCTTCGTATCGACGCTTCGCTCGTACGACACGAACGTGCTCGGTCAAGTCGCACGCTCTGTCGCTTTGATTCTGTAAATGTCTCTGCTTGTGCTTTTTTTCTCGCGACTGTCGGAGAACGCCCGCTGCGAACGGGGCAATTCGGAAGCGAGACGCGCGACGCCGTTATCGCCGTTGAATCGGCCGAGTTCTTTCACGGAGCGCGTACGTGCTCCGAACTGCGGGAGTCTGCCTGTCTTTATCCTCACCTGACGGAATTCACAGTTTTCGTCGTGAACGGGACCTTAAGTGTACTCGCGGACATACCAAATACGATGGAATGTCGCATGCGAGAGTCGCGTATCTCCTTCGGAAGCGACTGGCGTCCGAAGGCGCTTAAGGCTGCGCTAATCTATGACCATCATGTGAGGCCCGTAGCACGGAATAAGAAGAAAGAGAGAGTGAGAAGGGAAAAAGCGAACGCTGAAGGAATACGAAAATCGATGGTCGATCGACGCTCGAACGTGTTACCTATGCGCAAGTAATAAGCCCGGATGTATTCCCACAGACACGGAGCCCGAGCCCGCCCGCCGTGGGAAACTCATACGTGAGCCGAGCGATGCGATCCGTGCCGCGAAACCAGCTTTTAAGACGAAGTAGCATTTCGGCGCAGGTGCGATTCGATTAGCAGCCTATATTCCGACGCGCCCGACATTTTTCAGCGCCGCAGCTGGGACGCGGCGAGCGTGCATTTGTCACGACGCTGGACACGACGCGAGGGATAGTCTCCCGCCGTATTTTAATTGGACCGATCACTTACGTTAATCCTGCGGCGCGCGAAGATGCCATCGCGCTCTCGTATTTTCGTTTTAACGAGACACCGGCTACGCCCGCAGGTTGCGCGATCGTGTTTCTATGACATAATCAGAAGCACTTGCGAGGAAAACACTTTCATCGATTATGAAATTAGCGTGACACGCCCCGTTTTCACTGGACCTCGACTCATTATCCTTTTATACCTTTCTCGAGCAGTTGTAAAATTTTCCTATATAATTTTCATAAATATTCGCAACGTACTAACTTTCTAATTCTTAAAATTGCTATTGCTTTCTTTTTTTTTGAGATCTGTTGTACGAAGAAATAATATGTGATTTGTAAAACGAAAAATCTAACAATCAAAATTCCATTAAAGAACATTCAAGATAAAATTAATGAAAGTATATCTTGGTATCGGTCCATTCATTAAATTTAAATGGAATTTTTTGCAAGTTATTTTGCAAATCCGAGGCTTGTAAGCCTCTCGCGGGATGTTCTGATTTTACCGAGCAGCGGTAGACGATATATACGTTACGGCGGTTATTATCATCGTGCATGACGGATTATAGTCGATCGTCGTGTTTCGGGATTTACGCGTGTGCACATGTATGCGTAGCGGAAGGAAGGATGCGGAGAAGGGCGACTGTATCGGAGGTGAATCTGGGCTGCGATCGGGGCAGCGCAGGTGCAGGTGCTTCTAGAAACCGGCGACGAACGGACGGAATGCGGAGGGAAGAGGAGAAAGGGGGACAAGAGGGGCGTAAAGGAAGCAGAGGCAACGGGCCGGGCCCTGCACGTGCCTCTGACGCGCCGATGCCACCGATATCTTCTTCTTAAACTTTCCTATCCGCTCATTCATGCCCGACTAAATGCCTATAATTTTGGATATGATTACAGGGCACCGTTACCAACGCCCCGTGGACTCATGCTGCCTCGTCGCGAGAGAGAGGGCAGGAGCTCGTTATACGAGGGGCCCGACGAAATTGAAACGGAACGAGCCGAGGATCTTCTGTTCACCGTCGTTTGAGGACGGCTCTCTTTCTCTCTCTCTCTCATTCTTCGTCTCGTCCCTTGTACAGGTAACGTGTATATAATGACATATAAATTCCCTGCACCGATCGGACCGATGACAGGTGGCCCCGCGTGATTATGACTAATTTGCCGTGGCTTAAGCAAACAGAGAAATCGCTACGGCCATCCAAGTGCTTCCTCCTGCATGCAGTCTATTGGAATGTTGCCGAGTCCGCGGTTCGGTCGCTTCTCAGCTTCTCGTGAGGGTCAATTCGGTCTCTTAATTGCTATCCGGTATACAAGGTGTCCGAAATATAATATTCGCGAATTTAATAATATACAGTATGAACGTTTAACGGGATAAAAATATACTAATTTTGATTTGACAAACCGATCTCTCGTCTATAAATTCCTACGCTTCGAATCCTGTTTCTTTCTTCATTATATCTTTTATTATCTAATTTAATATCTCTTATTCTTTTATTATCTAATCTAATATCATTATCCTTGATAAAACTCGTCATTAAACGATTAAAGTATGCGATGATCGGAACATTGATGGATAAAGATCCTTCATCGAAGTCAATCAAAATGGCGTCCGATAATGACGATGTATTATAATTAACATGCTGGGAGAGCTAAGCTCTCTACGAAGACGATCGCCACGAGCGGCGTAATTAAATATACGTGCCTCGTGTGTGACGTACGTGCCCGGATCATTTTCGCAGAGTAAAATCAGCGCGTATCGCCATATCATTATGATAATGATTTCCACATCGGAATCCCCGTCCATGTGGCGCATTTTATTAAAAAGATAGCTCGCGTAAGCGCGCGTACCCTGCGGCCGTACCGGATAAATGAGTTTTTGTAGAACGCTCGCCAATAAAGCGAACTCACCCGTAAAATGACAGATCTCGCTCGTGCAAATATGGAAATTGTCAGAGACTCGTGTGTTTAAGTGAAACATGATTATATGTACCCCTCTGCTCGCGACGAATCGGCCTTCGTGCGGATTTAGCGTGATCTCTTCCATTTAATTTAATGTTCTTTAACGCCCATCGCATTATGCAAATTAATAAGTCATATTCTTTAAAAAAAAAAGGTAAAATAAATATTCGCGCGTTACGCGATCGCGATACGCTAAACGCAATTCTAATTTTGCTCAATGTATATTGTAACGATTAAACAAAAATACATTTTTAAATCAGTTATCTCACATATCTACACGGAGAAAATTTTATGTCAAAAATTACTATGTACGGCAGTAACCGCGGACCATGAAGCCACGGACCGACAATTTTTAATCTGTTTCACATGTGAAAAACATAGTAAAAATTTTTATAATTCCTTCACGGTCCGCAGCTACTACCGTACATAGTAATTTTGGATATAAAATTTTCTCCGTGTGTAAGTATCAATGCAATATCGTATTTGGTATCTTCCATATCTGCGCTTTTTTCTTACAAATTTATTCGACAAATTTATCTTAGAATCTTTATTTACGCGCTTCGTAAATAATTAATTTTACAAACGAAAGAAAATGATACTCACTTCCTGTTGATGAATTAAGAAGTCAGGGGCGGGCGGTGGCGGGGGCGGTTCCGAGACTTCCTGAAGTAGTCCCACGTGCTCCCAACAGTCCTCGGATATGTCCATGGTCTGTCTTCTTTCCTTCCCTTCGCTTTCCGGACAGAGTCCTTCCCCGCGGAGAACGGAGTAAACCGAGCCCTTCCTGTCCCCCTTTTTTAACACGTCCTTTTAATCTCCGCGACACAATGAACTACACGAGATACCGTCTACGAGTCTAGACACAGTCACTCCCAGAATCCGGTCACGTATTTCGGTCACAATAATATTGGCGTGACGCACCGGGTGCACCGTCGCAGAGAAGAAAAAAAAAAAGAAACGAGAGGACACGCATGTACGTGCGTACGTTAGCACACCGATTCACCGACGACGAAGTCGACGTGTCGCGTGACCGCGTTCTCTGACGGGCGACAACGACGGCGGCGACGACGACGGCGGCGTCGAGGACACGACGACGGCCGTCGGTGGTGGTCAGTCGGCGTGGAATGAAGTTCGCCCGCGGGTTAGGTTGGGTTAGCCAGCGAGCGGGAGTTGTGCAGCATCAGAGCGCGCGCGGCGAGAAAGACGAGAGAGGGTCGGTGCCGGTGTGAGAGAGGGGGGAGAGGAGAATAGAGGTGCGTGAGGGAGTAAGAGACCGGTAAAGAGAGAAAGAGAGAGAGCGTGAGCTCGAGGGCGAAAACGACGGCGGGTGGAGTGCGGAGAGAGAAAGAGAGAGGGAGAGAAGGACGGAGTGAGAGAGGCGTAAGGCGTAAGTCTGCCCTAGTCGCTCGCTTAACCGTGCAGGAGGTGGCGCCAATATAAACCGTACCCCACCTCCGGTGGGCCCCCCCGACAAAGAGCTTGCGTATAATACCTGTATGCGCCTGTTGGTAGACCATCCCGCCTACCAACTACCGTATTGCGGGATTTGTGATCCGTGCCGCCGGTAATTATTGCGATTTCACTTATATCCCGATCCGCGTAGACACCGCTTAACCCCGCGCGCCCTTCTTCAGACTCCGAGTGCGGACCGCGGGAATCCGATGAGACGCCGAAGTCGGGGCCGAGAAGGATATTGGAATCGCGGTAAAGCGCTATCTTTATATCTTATAATGGCTTGTCGATGTAACAACAATTGCAATGTTCTTGTACGCGGAAAGCGATTTCGTAATCACAAATACAGATATTGTTCGAGAACCGTGACTCTAATTCACCATGCTACAAATGCAATAACAGTTGGAGCAGGCGCAGTAATTTAAAGCTTCAAGCGCCGAAATACGTGTACGATAAGAAAAAAAATATTGCGCAACAGTATAAAATTTTCTTACAAAGTATGTAATGATCAGGTGCGATGTTCCTTGATCGCGAATATTTTCGTATAATTTTACACGGGTATCTTATCAAAGCGGAAGAAAAAGTGTATCGAGGCATCTATTGGGGGGGGAAACGAGTGCGCGAATATGTGTACAGGATGTGAGCGGGATGTAATCGAACGAACGAAGGGTTGGAATGCGATATGAATGCGTTAATGCGTCGTTACTGACAGCGACACGATTCGTTGATAGTACTTCGGACCCCACTCTTCCACGGCCGAGCCCTTTCATCGATTTAGCCCGACGATTGTTCCAGGGTTACCGCTTTTTTTTTCACTACATATACTTCTCGCATTTTAATTCCCCGCTGCTCCGATGCTGACTGACGCACGCTTAATACTCGACACTTGCCGGCCGTTATCATCGCGCGGTGCAGTTCCATGTAACGCACGACCCGTTCGCGTCGAGGCCGATGATTGATAGAGTCATATAAACGTTCGTAATTTACCAATCCGGTTTTGAACGCTCTCCGCGTATGGATAACTTTACTTAGCGATTGAATCTTGAACGGTCGCTGAACCGCAATTATCGGATATCGCGCAATTACAGCGGGATGACACGCTAATAGATGCATAGCATCGTCAAAATTTGTTTTCGATAAACGTCAGTCAATAAATGTCATCGCGGAATTGTTGGAAATTAGTTTAGCAAGCTGAAAATTAGTTTGAACGATGAAATAAATCTGCGCGAACATGTGGAAGGTTGAAAAGCGATCGGTGATTGCAAAACCAAGTCGACAATTATCGCGATAATTCTCATACAAGAGTCAGGATTCTCCGTAGTGTGACAGGAAAATTGAAAGCGGCTGTTGATCTGCAAGTTTGACACACATTTCCGAGTAAAATCTGTCTCACGTACAAACGATTTTTGCCGCGCGCGTACATGCCAGCCGTCATGCGTAAAACAAGACTGCCATTAGCCGCATCGGCAAGGTGCACTTTGTTCTGACCGTCGGTCTCCGACGATAAACGCGCTGCTGTTGGAGTGTTGGCCGAGTCCTCGACTTTGTGTGCACGCGCGGAGCCGCGCTGCGAGGACGCCGCCGAGGACATGTCGGCCTCGGCTAGGTAGGCAGCGCGATAATATGTAATGCCTATACTCGAGAGGCCCCCGATCGCGAATCTTTGAAGTCCGCGCGATGGCTTCCGTCTCTCCCGTCGGCAAACGCCGGCGCGAGGCCGCGGGGTAGCCAAGAGATCGAACGCAAAACTGTGGGAAAGCCAAATATACGCACGGGCGCGCACATGAGACTTCCTTTGAGAGTCTTTGCCCGTTTTCCTTCGCGTGCGTGCGTGCGTGGAGCATGGTATACGGGCGAGCACCTGTGACAACTTCTAATGCCGGGCTGGCTAAACGGTAGTCGGCAGACTAGATTGTGCGGTCCGATAGCTTCCGCGCCCGCTTCCTTTACCAGCGAGTGAGAGACACTCCGCGTTTTTTAGCCCCCTTCGATTCATTAGCAGCCATTATTTCACTCGACGAAATACTTTACGTTCCTGATATTATTTGTATCCTCAGCTGTGTCCCATCTGCAGGCCCTTAAATGTTTCTCCCATCCAACATAATTAGCCCTTTCTGGATCTATTCGATAATTATTTTATATTGCCGATATTAAAATTGCAGATTATATTAATTTTAGGCAATGTGTAGTGTGTAATGTACGCGTTATTATATTACAAATGCGGTAATAGTTCTGGGATACTTTGTATGTGTAATAATGCATAGGCAAAATAATATTTTTGATAACCTAAATTAAATTCATTAAAACCGGTTTTAGAATTTAAATTGGAATTCGCGACAGAGTTCGAAAATAGAATTTTATTTAAAAAATAAATTAGGTAAGGTCAGAATAATTAAATAAACAAAACGCAAACTAAAGTGGGCTAATGTGGAATTTTATTAAAGTGCCAGTTTATTTATAATTTTATTTGCTGCGTAATACAAAAAACATGTAAATCAGAAAAATGATTACATATATATTATATACAAATATATATCAGTGATATGTATTTTGTATGTGGATGGGAAAACAGAATTTTGCTATCGCAAAATCGTCGTTGCTATTGTATATTAGATGTGATAGTAATAAAACTTTGCTATCATAACTAATTTACAAATTATTCGATGTATTAGCAAAATATATTTTATCAGCAAAATATATTTTGCTGATAGAATAGATGAATTTTGCTGAGTAAATTTATTCGACACATTAATTTGCTGCTACAACAAAATAATTTATTTCTAACAAATGTATTTTGCTAATGCAGCAAAATTGTCGCTGCCAATGCAAATTTTAATGACAAAGTAAAAGTCCATTTGTTATAATAGCGATATAATTTGCAGATTTAGCACAGTTATTTCCAGGAAATAAAATTAGCATTTCTCTTTACTATCCATATAATAACTAACATGTTTTGTTCTAACAGCGTAAAATTTGCTGTGCCAGTTTTTTCCGCGCGCGCGTGTGTGTATGTGTATGTATTACAATTTTTTGAATATTTTCTGTTACATTATATTATAAATAGATTGACTTTTCAGTCGCGACTTATAAATTGTTTAAATATATATCGGATATTGGATTGCTTTTGGTACTTTTTAAAAATATCTCTTATTGTTAGTGAAGAGTTGGTTAAAATCTATGGACTCTGCAACTCTTTCTACGTGGAGCAAACGCGTAATGCGACCGTTGTGGCGGATCTCTTCCGGACCTCCCATCGTCTGTCTAACGAGACCACCGGAGGTACGGCAGCTAAAAACCGTGCGCAAAAACCGGCTAAAGTACGGTCTTTATACGGTTCGTTTTATATCGCGGCCGATTCGCCGGCCGACGCGCTCCAATTACGGATGAATATATATGTCGTTCTGCTGGACGTATATATTGTCCTCGCGACCTTATCGCTTTATATGGCGAAAAGCGATAGAATGCCGCTATAAGTTTGCCATTTGATCCAGCACGAATTTACTGTTTGCGCGCCGGCGTTACTCACTGCCCGTGAATGAGAAACGATGTTAGTGGAATGCATCTTCTTTGCAGTGCAATTTTAAAGAGTCACCATTGACTGAGAAAATGTAAAATTTTGCTCAAATCTCTCTTTCTCTCTCTCTCATTTATTAATTTAATTATTAAATTAAATTATTTTTAGTATACAATATTTTATTTATATTATTGATGTTATTGTATCGATGTTATTGATATTATATATTATTATTATATTACAATTCTTTTGTCTCTCTGCGTATATATAATCGCGTAATGCTTTGGACACACATCTTCTTGCGTGCCAATTTTTTAAGTGCCCGTGGAATCTCAGCGACAAAAAGCGGACCGGCGACGCTAATGCTCGGAGCACCTTGTCGACATTTATGGGGCGAGTTTCCGAAGGCAAAGACCTCTCAACGTTTTGCAAAAGAGGTCTTGTTTACGTTTGTGAGAGAACAAACTGAGTAGTGCGTAAGAAATACGACGACCACGTGCGACGACTTCCACGTCTGTATTATTGTGCTACGTCATGCGAACTTCCTCGTTCTTAAGTGTTTCAACGGGACTCTTCTTTCGGAATATCGTGCGTTACGAGCAAATATAGTCGTAATCAGGGTGCAGGGTATAATTTCGACGAGTTAGACTTCGTTTCGCTGAAACGTTTGGAAATAGGTATCTTTGCGTCAATCATCGGTTTCGTGTCGCACGAACAAATACAAATATCACTTTCGCGTGTCTGAAACATCGCAATCCGCGCTCATTGAAATTCATCCGGTCGCGATCTGCAGCCTCAAGGTACAAATTGCGCGCAAACGAGCCCTGGGTACGCCGCGAGAGCTCTGCTCTCCCGTTATTTCTCGCGTAAACGCAAATAAGCGGCAGCGCGGCGACAGGCAGAAAATCAACGCGGTAAGCCGGAGAAGGGTTGTCGCAGCCTCTTACTCGGAATCTTGAGCGGTAGATCACACAGAGG